ACTTATTAACAGCTTGCTCCCTTATTTCCAGATCTTAAAACTTTAAGCTCTTAATGGTTGATACATTTACGATCGGATACAGATAGAAAAGACAATTTATCAAACAGATAGACCTGAATGAGATGATCTGTTACAGTGCTGATACCAATTTCACTGAAAATTGAAAAAGATGAAAGCAAAATTAAAACATATTTCTCAAAACAGAAAACTGTTACTATGAGCTCACTTAGAACAAAAACCAGCAGTCACCCAGTACCAGGACTGGGAAATGCTGCCCTGGAGAGTGAGAGGGAAATTCACAGAGCTATATGTGCACTACCGGAGATTTCACCAAATGACGTGTCAGGCGATGGGACTCTGTCTGCTGTGCAATGCTTTCACCTAGAAGGGGCAAGAGCAGCCAAGACAACTGTAACACTAAGAGTAACGCTCCAGTACAGCAGGAGGTAAGCACAAGAGCAGAGGTGATCCATTCTCCAGTCCTGTTGCTCCTGAAACTTCAATCTCACTGTCTGAGACCGTGGGAGTAAGAGAGCTCCAGCTCTGGCCAGCAGGGTGTGAGAGAGGGAAAGGGAAGGGCTTTTTCCATCAGGAAGGGGGCAGGCACTCACAAAGGATTTCTCGGGGTACACTCCTGCTCGCAGCAGGGAGGCCTTCCAGCTGTCCACCTCCTCCTGGGAGTCGCAGGCCAGCTCCAGGTACCGGTAGTCCTTGTACACATTCCTGCCAATGGGACAGGAGAAGCTCGGGTTACTCTGGGAGAAACACCCCCGTTACATGCACACGTCAATAACAATCTTGCATTTACATTTCACTTCTCATCCCCGAGTTTGCAAACGTCCCTTACGGATCAGAAGGAACTAGCTTCACCTCTCACTGACAATCAGCATCCTCTACAACTCAGAAACTGTCATGCCTACTCAGACGTACAATAGACACACAATCGCACATGTAAAAAATAACTCCATGCTCATAGAGCACTGCCATGCAAAACCAGGCTCGCGCATAAAATATACCAGCACAAAAGAAAAAGCAACAAGTCAGACAGCTGCTTAATTCCTCAGCTCTGGCACCAGACGGCAATGCCTCCCTCCCAGTCTCTCAGCTCAGCTACTAGTGCACACTCCCCTCTCTCTTTCCCAGTCTGTTCTGGAACTGTATACACGATAGGATGACGGGGAGGCAGAGGACTGCAACCCACAGCAATGCAGAGAGCAGGAATGCAAGCCATCTGTTAAATATTCTCTGTAATTATCCTGTTGTTTTTTGGAAGACAGGCTCTGGGAGATCAAACAGTCCATCTGGGGCTCAGCCTGCCATTGTGGAAAATGTTCCTCAGGATGACTGGCTCTGATTGGAAACTCAATACTCCCAACTCCAGTGAAGAGAGGAGAGTCCAATGCGCTTTTTTTTTTAGCTGTCATATGTGCCTTCTCTCCAGCAGTCAGTGTTGTGTTAACATTCAGCTTATGAAATTCTCCTAGCAGGCTCTAGGAGAGCTGGCCCTCCAATTTCCCCAACATCAAGAATCCAGTTCGTTTTAGCTTCTTAAATGCTAAATTGGACTGCACTCTGATCAATTAATTAACAGCCTGCTTCAAATGTGACTACTTGACAACCAAAAGAAATCACCAGTTCCCCAAGGAAACTAGCTGATGTAAAGTTAGGAATCAAAATACTGCTGAAAATGAGACACATTCTCTTATGATACAAATCTAGGAGTTTTAATAAAGCCCTGCAATACATCGTACTGAAAGAGGCCTAAGGCACTGTACACCATACTTCTGGAACACTAGGGAACCAGCGTGGTTTTCATTAGATTGCTCCAGCACAGGATTCTACCAATTTAAATATAGAACCTATTGCAACTTAGTTAGGTGCACAGCAATGCTAAAAATTAAGAAGCTGGAAGCAACCAGTAGCTTGTAGTTGACCTATCCCATATTTTCTTAAGGATGCCAGTGGAGCAACAACTATAATATGACTTGGCAGCTGTCCATGTAAAGAAGTGCCTCCTGCTTCCAGTTCTTGATCTCCTTGCCCAGTCAGAGTAAATAGCTCTATGTTTGAGGCTGAATCATGATTCTTTAAAAGTGTAGGATGAACAATAAGGCCCAAGGTAAATACACCAAGCAGTGGATTTTACTTCATGCTCCAAGCCATGAAGTTGAGAAACGTGAGCCAAGTGCAACCCAGAATGGCTGCAGGAACACTTTCTGGCAGGGTGTAGTTGTGTTTGGCTTTGCAGCGCTCCTGTGAATATCCCGCAGGACAGTGACTGCCATTGAGCTGAGAGAGTCTAAGGGCAGCAGTAAACAAATGACCACAGAGCCCTGGTGAGAGGAACAGACCCCACATGCTCTACCCTCTCTCACTGCAAATGGCCCTGCCTCCTGCCTCTCCCGCCACCAATTTACAAAACCTTTCGTTCCCTCTCTCTTTCTCATCAGAATTTGTTATTTCATCGCCCGTTTTTTGTGAAAGCCAGGAATTCCTGTGGAATAGCTGCAGTGCAAATCCCTAGCTGGTTTTAATTTAAGAGTTTCCTGGGGTTTGATTACTGTCAGCCTGGGACACTGCACAGTAGACCCCCCTGGCCCGCGGACTCGGAACAGTACAACAGATAGAGGCTAGGGGGCGCTGCAGGACACTGTGTGCCTCAGAGTGACAGAATCCTGGCTGCAGCGCCATGCTCTCCCTCTCACTCTTTGTGGCTAGCAAAGAAATTCTTTCCTAACAAGCGAAACCTTATTTCTGAGTCTGTGGGTCTGGATTTAATTAGGGGCTTAATTATTCTGCAATAGGTATTTTTTGGTCCCCTCCCTCAGCCGTCCTGGACAGTACAAATTATAAACAAACTCCACATGTTCCATAGAGCCAGGCCTGCAATCACCAAGACTTCCCCGAAACCCTCCGCTGCTGCTTGGCATCTGCCGACACAGTACTATTGAAGGACACAGTGCTGTATGCGTCGCTGAACTGGGCTGGGCTCCTCTCACTCAGCCAGGCTTTTATGGAAAAGCGAGATTTGTGTGTGTGTATGCCTATAACTTCAAATGCAAAAGTGCTTTATTGGTAATATCACTAAAGGTATTGCCAAAGCACAGCCAGCAATGACAGATAACAAATGTAAAACACTCACACAAGATCAAGAACACAGTCAAATCAATATCTGCTTACAAGCACCCTAAATACAAATTACATCATTAAAAACAAGAAAATGAACACTCCCAGAGTGAATAGATGACACAACTGAGCTCATAAGCTCTTGACACGAGCTCTTGATGTGCAAGACAAACTTCCTTATGGGCAATAAGTTCAATTCAATTCAACTGCCCCATTTTCCCTTCCCTCCCCATTAGAGATGTTCAATCCTACTGGCTGTGGCATGAGGCAACACCCTGGGCAGCCACCTCCACACACTGAATCTCCTCCCCCATACAGTCCTGTCCCCAAAACATTGTGGTTTGTGTTGTGTTGGTGTCCCAATAGGTGGTGTACTCGTCTTTGTGTTGTGCTGTAATCTGATTGTAATTGTAGGTGTTTTAGCTGGGCAGTCCTGAGGCTATTTGGTGCTGGGTAAGGCTCAGGAAAGTGGAGAGTTTGAGCAGGGTCTCTTGCAGCTTAGGGCTGGTGTGTTTCAGCATCTCATCAAGCCCACTGTTCTTCCTGGGTCTTAAAGCCTGTGGACTCTCCTTCAGCTCTTGCTCCGTGTTTTAGATATATTTTTAGATTTGGACACATCACGCAGATATTGTTTTGGTAACTTTGGTAAATACTGTACATCCTGAAATAAACAGAGACAACTTATAAAAGTGTCTGGCATCGATATTTAGGTTTCCTAAGTGCTGTTCACTGTTCGTTCTTTTTGATACATATTTTCCGTTTTTTTTGTATGTTTATAAATAAGTGAGTCTGGGCAACTTTGGACTGCTAATTCTTCAGAATGCCCTTTTCTTGGATTAACCCATTTATTCCACAAAGAGTTTTAGATTATTGGTTCCTTAGTTTCACACAGACATTTGTTAATGTGATTACTTTTTTTCTTTGCACTGTATTTTTGTAGTAGCTTAATGTTGCACAGCCACAAATATATACTGTATAAACATTACTCTGCACATAGTGTATGCAGTCATATGTACATACTAGTGCATTACTAAAACTAGATTACATTTACAGAATGTATTAGCAATATTTTTTTAAGGAATGAAACATTCTGCACACTGTGGATTTACAGATGGAATTTTTTTTACAGTTAGCTTTCTGACTAACTCAATCTGCCTTTTTATTATGCTTCTATCACATTTTAATTAACAATGTTGACATAATTTGACATACACCTGCATCGTCTTTGCTAAATCCACCTTCAGTTATAGTTCTTCAAAGGCTGGAATACACATGGTGGGCTATTGTACATCCTACAGCGCTGTTAATGAGGCCCTATTAGCGCACTCATATTTCCTCTCCTGTCCTACATGCTGTTGAATTCATCTTCAATAAAGAGGACGGAAGGCTTTGGCAACCCAGGAAACAGTCAAGGGCACAGTAACAGCGTCCTTCTATTCCTGTTACAGGAGACAATGTGAGGCTTCTGCTCATTTTTACATGTGACCAGGAAAAAAACATTTTCGCCTGACTCTCCCACCTGAGAACACGTCTCTACAAACCGAATGGTTCCATTCTCGCCAGCCATTTCACATGTAACACCTAGTGGGGATGAGTCGTCTGTGGCTCACCTCTGCTCTGTGTTGAAGAGGGCGAAGATGTGTTTACTTGACATGAAGCCCTTCTCCACATCGCGCACTTTCAGATTGTCCAGCGGCAGCATATACTTCTTCTCCTTTTCCTGGGAACACAACAGGGGGGAACATCAGGAGACACTGAAACTCACAACGAGAGCACACAATAGCCGCCCAGCCTTGTGCAGATGGCAAACGATAAATGAATGAAAAATAAACCTTGTTCTAATGCGGAGACCTGCAGAACAAAACCTCAGAACCACATTCTCCTTGAAAAGGCTTGAAGAGGCAGCTCAATAACTGAACTGTGAACAGAAATTCAAGGACAATGAGTTGGATAACCTCTCCCTCTTCCTGAAGGTCCTGATTACTTTGCAATTAAAGATTCCTTGGCGCTCTTTCTGAGAGCATTTCAATTTCCAATCCTGGCTTGAACCATCTAGATTTCCCTCAAGCTCCTCCATAATACGATGGGTGAAGCCGTTTCTCACTTGTTGTGCACTGTGGCTGCTGTATGCCAAGCTCTTTAGGATCCTTGGAGATGAAAAGTACAACATACATGCAGGGATATTACAGAACAGCAGGGCCAGGGGGCCTCTTATAGGAATTCTGGATTAATTACTGTTAACATAGCCCTGTTAACATAAAAATGAGGGAGACAAGATGGCAATGAAGACATTCTTCTGCTTAAACATCCCTTCAGACTAGTTTGTTTCTTCAGCAGTGTACTTAATAATATGTTATGTTTTTCTCCAAGTCGAAGTGGTTTCCTGCTTTGTTCAGATTGCCCAGTGTGATGTAATGCTAAAGCTCTCAGAATGTGGGAAAACCCAGGTGTCTCTGGCAGCTGTGTTCTGTCACAGTGTAGGAGGGATAGAAAGACAAACTGCTCGAATCCGTAAGACAGCCAGAGAGACAGGAAGGTGCAGAGGGAGGGAGAGGAGGAGATAAGGGGATAGAGAGAGGAGTAGAGAGCCGAACCGCAGCAATCAAACGGCTGGAAAGGGAGAGACAGGAGAGTAATGGAGAGGGGGATACAGTGAAAGAAACAAGGAGAAAGGAAGCCCGAGAGGAAAAAAAGCGAGACGGCTCTCTCCAGCACACTGTGGCCGACTGGTTCACTCAGACTGGAATGTGTAATGGTTCCTCGGACAGCCATCTTGCAGCGACCAGATCTAAACTGACACTTTTGAACAGCAAAGCAATGATGTATACCAAACTAACACTGTCCCACAAAATGCCACTGATACATTATAGAACACTGTCACATAAGAGTATGCTTCTACACAACAGACTCTCCATGGCACATAAGACTGTTGATATACTGTAACAACAAAATCTATGGGCAAGAGTTTTGCATCAGTGTTGTATTGTAGATAATGCTACAGTGATGCAATATTTATATACCCATTAAAGGCTAGAGTGTAGTGCTATATGATATGCTGACACCACTGTACTAGGTTGTAGAATACTATCATAAAGACCAGCACCAACCAACCTTCACTCTTCAGTTGCAAGAGGAAAAGAAAGACCAGAGATCAAGTTGAATTAAAACAATTTAAATGGCATCTAAAAATGACATTTCAAATATGCTTGGTATCTACTTCATCAATGTCTTTGCTAATGAAGATACTATGCATATTCCTATTGCTAAATATGACATATAAATAAGCACTGAAGTAAGATGTGAAAAGCATGCTGTTCTGACACCAGTACTATGCTTTCATATTCAAACACTGTCAATCATCCAACTCCTGTACTGGTGTTGCAGTTTAATTTGCTCCCAGTCCCATCATTCACAACACACACCTGTACTGTCACAAGAGATATGGGAAGACAAGAACTGGGGAGTAGCTGGGTGTTGTTGCTTGTCCTGCATTTTTTCAAAACACAAGTGGTGAAGGAGACTGAAAGTGAACAGAGCTAATGAAAGTACAGAATATCTTGCCATTTCTTGCAAACAAACGGATACGTCTTTCTCACAGTGAAAGATAGCCAGGGTGTTAACAAAAGTGTCTTAGTTCAGGAGCCTCGTCAACAGGCACCTGGTAATACAGGAAACCTCTAAGCCTGCTGTACGTTTCTGATTAACGGGGTTTCATCACCATGGGGACAAGCTGCTATTGTTGCAGTGGGAGCGCTTTTAAGAAAGAGGCCCATCAGAACATGTTCTGCAGTGCATCCTTAACTCACTGGCCCATTTTGAGCGATCCTGAAGGGGAGGAGAAAATTCCACAGCCAATAATAAGTGTGAGTCAGAAAGATTCAACATCTGTTTTGTCCTTCTGCATTTAGAATGTATGATTTAAAAGATACGGTGCTGCATTCTTACTTTGTGTTGTCTGCGTTTTAACTCATCTTTACATTTTTGCGTTTGTAGCTTTGTTGTACCCATGGTGGGTGGTGCTGCTGGCTCACAGCTTGTGGGGGTGCCGGGCTGGATTGTGGGGCTGGGCTGCCCCCATATTGCAGGTCCTCTGGTTTCCTTCAGCCTTCCACAGGCATGCTAGCTTGATGAACTGGCATCTCTCAGCTGTCCGTGTGTCTGTGTCCTGTGATAGCCTGGCACCTTCGGGTGCAGTCCTGCCTTGAACCCTGTGTCTATCAAGTCCAGCCTGCCTCAAACCCCCACAAAATGTATAAGATAAGAAGTGGCTATGAATTATGTGCATGTGGATGTACCCAAAGCAGGCTAAATACACACGTATGATATTTTAACAACTGCTTCGGCAAAATGATCTTATTGATAATGTTGTTCCATTACATTACTGTAAACAGGCGCCGTCCTTCGGATGAGACGTAAAACCGAGGTCCTGACTCTCTGGCCATTAAAAATCCCAGGGCGTTTCTCGAAAAGAGTAGGGGTGTAACCCCGGTGTCCTGGCCAAATTTCCCCATTGGCCTCCTAATAATCCCCCTCTATGAATTGGCTACATTACTCTGCTCTCCTCCCCACTGATAGCTGATGTGTGGTGAGCGTTCTGGTGCACTATGGCTGCTGTCGCATCATCCAGGTGGATGCTGCACATTGGTGGTGGTGGAGGGGAGTCCCCATTACCTGTAAAGTGCTTTGAGTGGAGTGTCCAGAAAAGCGCTATATAAGTGTAAGCAATTATTATTATTATTATTATTATTATTATTAGAATAGTGCTAATTATGGTGTCATTTTATATGCTGAAAGTTGCTTGTGTGGTGGTTAGTGCTGCTGTGTTTCTAGGCTGCCCGGTCCCGCCCGTTCACGACGGTCTCGTTCCACCTCCCAGCACACGCCGGCCTGCCTGTCCCGCAGGGGCCAGGAGAGCGGCCGTCACTAATCCGCTCTGCCACACAGCTGACCCCAGCATGGCCGCGACCAAGGTTGCAATATATCACGATCAACGTGTGTGAAAGCACGTGTTTCAAGGAGGCATTGCTCACTGGAATAAAAAGTGCGTTGTTTGACGGTAGAAAGACTCAAGTCTTCCACCCATTTCATTGCATGAATTGAAAAAGAGACATAAAATTCAGCGGCTACTTATTTAAAAAAATAAGTAAATAAGTGAGTTGTCTTCTGGCATAAATTGACTCAAAATAAAAAAAATCTGCCAATTCTATATATTCCCTAGGGTTCCTTATGAGAGATAATTGAGGTCATTTATCCACCATTACCAAAAATTGTTTCGTCAGTCATTTAAAACTGGACAACTTCAAGTTTATCTGAAAATGTACAATATAATTCTAGCCACACAAGAAGGGGAATGTACTGTATGAACTAGGTACTAACAGGCCAGTCATCGTAATTATCTAAAATAATCCGTCATTAGGGAGAAACTCAAATCATATTTGTACAATAATACAATTACTGGGGGAAATCAACTTTCTGTTTTCAATCAACATTCATCCTATTCACTTGGCTGATGCTTCTATCCAAAGTGACGACATTTTTTACCCACTTCTGCAGCTGGGCGTGTCACTGGGGCAATCTGAGGTCAAGGACTTTGGTCAAGGTAACAAAGGCAAAGGCTCACCTGGGATTTGACCCATAACCCTCTAGTTGTACTTCCAGAGCCCTGCCCACCATTCCACACTACTGCCTTGCTCTCCATTACTCCCTTATTAAGGCGGAGTTTTACACTTTTTGAAGGTTTGCACAGAGAGTGCGGACACTTGCAGGGATCATGACGGCCTGTATCTGGATATTTCAGAACTACTGTGACAAGGTTTGGCACGAGAGACTCTTTCTTCACCTTAAAGTTATGGGAATTAATGGTGCACCACCTATTGGAGATAGAGGTGAGCTAATTTCAAGTCCAAGACACAGAAAACAACAAAAAAAATGAAGTCCCGGAGGGGTTGGCACTGGCAGTCTCGGAACAAATGATGTGACATTTCTCGATTTAGAAAGAATTTGTGCATTTAAGTGAGTGGTAGCCCACTATGACCCTCAGTGGTTACAGGGTTTTAAAGTTTTGTTTTCAAACGATCTTACAATTACCTTAATACAAGCTCAATGTACAGATTGCAGTTGCTCTTAACCGAGTCTTGAGATGGTAGTGACATAGAAAGACCGATAAAACCTGCTGGCTTTTAAGACCAGGAATGGCATTGGCTGTAACATAGGCTGACTGTCTCATGCTAGACTAGTATAGTGCATTGCTATGATAGAAGGACTCTTCAGTGGCTTCGGTCAATGTTGTAGTTCTCGTGCTTACGTCCTGTAACCTGGTGACCAGCACAAGTGACCAGACGCTCCAACACGTGCAGGAAGAGAAAGAGGTGGGCATTGGTGCAGAAAGGCCACAGAAGTGGTAGTTTAGCAGGCCATGTGAAACCAAAATACATCCTTGTAGGTACATGTTTAATTTAAAGACAACAGCACATGGAATGAGAGTGTTAATGTGAATAGACAAAACGATAGAGAAACCAGGGAAGAGGAGAGATCAAGCAGGGAAAGTGAGTGCATTTAGGGAGAAAGAGAGAGAGAGAATAATAGAGGAAGCAAAAAGGCCCACATGTGGAAGTCATTACTCAGGCTGAGGCTCTGAAACACAGCATTTCTCCAAAAAAATCCCTGTCCTACCCCCCATCCCCCTCTCCTCCACCCAACTCCCCCTTTCCTTTCATAGGGGCTTGGGTCTCAGGAAACGGCTAAAATTTCAGCGAGAATCAAGGGCTGGAGAGAAGGGGGGTTGAGGAGTTTAGACGAGGAGGAACTGCAACAGAGACGTTGACAAAAGATACGAATGGACAGGATGAGAGACGAAGAGTGAAAGCCAGGGAAAGGGTGAAAAAGACACAACGCTTACAGGGCGAGAGAGATAACGGAAAGGTTGTATCAGAACTGGAGGGCGGAGGTTAATCAAAGTGCACGGACATCCAGCACACACACTGTCCCACACTGGGCACTGGGCAATATCATAACTGCCCCAGTTACCTCTGTCCCTTTATCCATCACTAGATACTGGACACAGAACTGCTCCACCAATATCCACAACCCTGAGTTCTTTTCTCTCTCTCTCTTTCTACACTTCAAAATTTTTCTTATTTTTTTTTCCATTCCAGAGGGGCCCACTTCCTGCCTGAGTTTTAGAAAAAAAAAAGATGAAATGACTGCCTGGCGTTACACTGCAACATCTGGTACCGCTTTACAGCCCAGAGAGAGAGAAGGAGAGGGAGATATTTGTAGAGAAATAGGGAAAGAGAGGGGGAAAAGTTTGTGTCGGTGAGAGAAAGAGTGGAAGAGAGGATAAAGGTAGACACAGAAGCAGAGGACACAAATATACACATAAAGAGAGAAACAGGACAGAGATATGGATGGAGAGAGTGAGACAGAAAGACAGAAAGAGAGAGAAACTCCAGACCGCTCCAAGTCTTTCCCCAAGGGTCACATGAATCCATATAAGGCCAGTCAGTCCCTCCCTCCCTCTCTCTCTCTCCTTCACTCTCTCTCCACTTTCGTTTTTTTAATATCCCTTCCCTAAATCCACTGCCAGATTCCCCAGTCGTCTCGGCAAATGTGCCACGTCAAGACTGGATATCGCACACTGGCCCACCGGCCGCAGCCCTGAGAGAGAGAGAGCGCGAGAGACCGAGACACAGCTCCCCTCCATGCAGACAGGGCAGGACAGAGCCGGGGACGAACCGCCACCAGGACGGGGCGGCAGGATGACGGGGGGCACACTACTGCAAGGGGGGCAGGGGCAGGGGAGGTGAGGTTTGATGTTCCAGGACACCGCTGCAGTGACTGCCTGTTTTCGCATTCCCTGGGGATAATGCGATTCCCTTGGGCTTTCCCCATCCAGTCTTCAGGACTGGAGAGGCGAGAGCGACACAGGGCGAAAGAGAAGGAGGAGGAAGAGGAGGGTCCTGCTCCGTCGTCCCAGTGTTCAGACTACCTGTTCAGGATGATACTGGTGTACAGTAGTCTGCACATTGGTTAGACTGTGCAAGGAAGAGCTCCAAGGACGTATGGACTCACAAACACAGAGACACACAACGCCGTGCATTCTGGTCCAGGATGCACGGGACCTCCGTCTGACTCGGCTTTGTTCTGTTTGTCACCCCCCCTCTCTGCCTCTCCCTTTCTCGCCCCCTCTCTCTGTATTTGCAGGTCTGTTTGCTGTGAGAAGATGGGGCAGCTGCAGTCCCTCGCGCGCTGGGTAAGGGGTAACTGTATTGTGCTGAAACTGAGCCAGTGAGGAAGGCAAAGTAAATGTAGATGAATTTTGTTACAGCGTGTTGCCTGACGGAGGGGCTAGTCGGAATCGCTTACCGTAATCACACTGTGCAAGGAAGTTACCCTGCAGTCTGCCATAATACAAACAGCTCTGTGTGCTGGGCAGCCAAGCGAATCTAAAGTCAAATCCACACTTAGCCAGTTACTTTGTGGTACCCGCAGAAGATTTTGTTTCGAAGCCTGAGATATAACCAGCAGGATGGGGGACTGTGTAATCAAGCTAATCAAGTATAATGGAGCTATTGGCATTACCATCAAACTAAAATGCTTGTTTGTATATAGTAATACACAAACCACATTTTGCCATGAAGAATTTAACAAACGTGAATCGGTTCCTTTTTACATTATGAAAAGCAAATAAATATGTTAAACTCATGACCCTTGACCCACTGACCTCATAATGTGCTTTCCGAGACTGGGTTGAGGTGTACTGCTGTGTGCAACAACACACAACAGAGTTGAAATTTCTTTGGCGTCTAAGATGTGCGGGTGATGTTTATAATGACGGAGGCCTAGCTGGACTGAGAAAGCAGCCAGCTCAAGAGGGATCATAGGGTACACTGAGCCTAGGATGCTTTGTGAAACTGGCAGTGTGGAAACAAGCTGTGTCAAAGCACTGTAGAGAGTGTCTCACCAGCCTTTGTGCTATATTGTAGTGTTTGACAGCACAGGATTCTTTGCAGTCTTCAGAGATCTGTGCAGGATACAGCAGATAGCTTGAGCAGATGTTGTCTTGACAGTTCTGGTTTAAAAGTGGCCAGTGTGATAAGGCTGTCTTCACAAACTTCTCTGTTCCCTGGCCTTTGGCTGTGTTATCTTTCAGTATGCAAATGTTGTGTCCTCTGCAGGGAGAGACTGGGAGTGTAGTGAGTGAGTATTGTGTCAGACTGCACCTAAGCAGTTGTGTTCAATTATGTGTACTGTTTCACTGTGAGTGCTGAATTGAGCATCTAGGCAAACGTGCATATGCAGGCTGAGGGAACATTTATCTTTTTGAACAGTTTTCATCTGTTTGGGGAATATAACTATTCTGGATGCCCGAGTAACAGGTGTGTCTTTTGTATTACAATATATATGAGGAATATTTGTAGCTGTGCCCCTGTGCGTGCTTGTATCTGTCTATGAGAGGGTGTTCGTTTATTCTGCCTATGCATTGTGACTGTCCTGCTGTATTGTTGAATTGGGTGGAGGCAGCTGAATGCTGTGCCTGTGTGTGTGTAGTTTGGGAGTACAGAGTGTGTATCATGGCTGCACTGTATGTGAGGAGGGAGAGGGAGGCCTAGCTAGGTGAAAGCAGGCTGGGGGGAGTATAAGTGTGGAAACAGCCGTGCGATGAGGGATTTCTCTACACAGTTTCAGACACTTGGAAGCTGGTAGCTGGACACAAACACAGTTTTCCAGCCAGGAATGTACAGTCCCAGCAAGACTGCCAAAAGCCTGGAGAGAAAAAATAAGGGCGATGAAGGAGGAAAAGAAAGACAAGGAGAGAGAGAGAAAAGGGGAGAAGAAATGAAAAGAGAGGAGGGTGAGGGACAATAACAGACAAAAAGGGAGGGAGAGAGAGGGAATCCATACTGATTGCCACTGAGGCACGTCTGAGATTTGGCCGGAGTACTAGTGAGTCATGTGATATAACATATTGTTACAGTTCTACGGACATTTGCAACATTTCCAGAAAAAAAGGGGGTAGTGCTAGGAGGATTAGTGTCTGTGGTAGTCACTTTTAGGAGGAACTGAAGGGATAAAGAAACAGCTCATCAGAATAAGGTTAACTGACTGCATGATAAATGTGAGGTCGGGGCTATGTCAGAGCCAGGGAACTGAGAACCCTGCAAAAGCTGTAGCAATTTATTGTAATTTAACTTACCATACCAAAAGTGATAAGAGAGAGGGCGAGTCAGAGGATGTTAGAACGGGTACAATTAATGTCAAGTGTAAACATACTGCAACACCTACAGGGACACAAAATGAGACAGACTGCAGGCCAGACAGTACAGACAGCCAGTCTGGATCTACAGCACAGGCGCTGCAGGGAGCCATGGGGCCTGCCGCACTGGGCGGGGATTACAGTGTGGAGTGTGCGAGACATGCTCTGCAGGAATAAAAAAAACTGGGTTAATGATAGGGAGCAGCGCAGCGAGGGTCACTGCAGGAGCTCATCAGTCAGCCTCCTGCACAGAGCTCTAATGAGAACGTATAGAGAGTTATATCCTGGAATGTCTGTCAGCAGACATGGTTGTATTTTTCTGTCCGCTGGTTATTTTTTTCATATTCTGTGCTGGGGTATGTGCAAAGAGGCATATGCATATACGTGCATAAAGGTATAAATGTGTGATGAAGTGTTTCTTGACATGTGCAAGAACATGAACTGCTCCCGTGCGTGACATGTGTGCGCTCTTGCATGTGCTCAGGTCTTCTTGGGCCTGTGTGGACAAACCTGTGACTCTGACCACCTTTTCCAGTGAGCCTGTTGATTGTGGAGGCAGCAACAGGCTGCTGCCAAGAGCGCCAGTGAAAGAAAAAGTGCTTTTGAGCGAAGAGTGTGGAGTGTGTGTGGTTTTGCTTGGTGCTGTTCCAGCTGTGTCAGAGTGAAATGATCCAAATGCCTGAACTCCCGGTGGAGAGGAAAGGGGGGTTGAGGGGTTGATATACGAGACACTCGCAGGGTGAGGGGGTGGAGGAGGGGGGAAATGAATTTAGGACACAGTCCCCACAAGAAGAGGAAGCCCCTTGGCTTGAGAACGAAGGCTTCCAGGATCTAGAGCCGAGTGTGAAATCCCTGACAGAGAGAAATATGGGCTTCCAGAACGAAAGAGAGTAACAGGGAGGGAATGGAGCTATAATCTTTTAAGTGGAAGCAGGGACAGCTCTCATAGAGCAACGGGGTGCTGTACAGAGGGCGAACAGGAAAGAGACTCTGTGTAGGCCGCTTTGGCACCAAACAGCTCATCTTCTGTAGCCCAGGTTGTCTGGCACCAGAGCTGTACACCAGAGGTGATATATCCAGTCCTAAAGGTTTCTGCAGGGTCTCTAGGAGTCTTTTAACACATTGGAAACCTGGTTGTGTGTGCACAAGCTGACTTAAGTCCAAGACAAAAAAAAAAATGGGCCTCAAGCCCTTTTACAGATTTCATGATGAGTAAAAATAATTTTCTGTTTTGTCAAGTGCTTGACTCACCGCCTCCTGCACATGTGACCCTCAGTCTGTCATCGCCTTAAATACAGGCCAAACACCACCCTGCTGAATTACCAGACTTTTGTACGTTTCTTACATTCTTAAAAGTTATCGGTGAAATGTAACAGAGATTGGAAATGCTGATGCTGAAAAAGGAGAGCATGTTTTCACTGAATCTTTTAGTGGTAACTTGTTAATCAAAACAGCACGTTATGTGTAAAACAGGCTACAGAAATCTATAGGTCAGTAATCACATTAACATGAAAAACTCTGTCATTTTATTAGTGCAGAAATTTGGGTAGGACATTATGGATCGGGCAGTATTGTCTAGTATAGCTTTCTCCAGATTACGTTCCATGTTACAGGTTTGGCAAGCAGATGAACCCTTAGCAAAATATCAGCAAGGGAAGTCATTACAATCGCTTGTAAAACTGTAGTGTCTACATCATATTTAAGAAGCTATATCACAGTTTGTCATGGTCAAAAAACAGGTTAATAAGGAATGTAAATATGAATAATACATTTGAAGCAGGTAAAACCTATGAAAAGACATACAAATTTTGAACTTACCTTAAAATTTCTTAAGGTAGTCTTAAAAAGACCTTAAACAGGTCTATTAAGGTCTATGAACACACCAAAACTGCCTAGATGTCACTAATTTCCATTTGTTTATATGCGCCATGAGAAATACAGATCAATTAAATAATTGCCTCAATTAAACATTTAAAGATGGGTTAGAAATAAACTTAGAAGTCACTGTATCCCCTCCAGGGCTAGGCAGATCATTCATGGGGTAAAACTGACCTCTATCTAGTGACACCAGAGTTAAAAACACTGGCTCCTCAGCCCAATCACCAGGCCCCACTGCCCAGACTGTCACAGTGGGACAGCGAGGGAGGCTGCAGACCTAAGGAGCAACAGACACTGCACAACCAACACGTCAGCTTTACACAGAGAGTAGAGGGAGGAGATGCAAAAACAGCAGGGGAAAGTGAAGGAAAGACACCGGATGTTAAGGAGAGTTGCCAGAGGACTCTCCACAGGCCATGTAGGACAAACAGGATCTCTGACAGGTCCAGATATTTTTTTGCTCTGTACAGTTAACCTTTTCTCTTACATGACAGTTATGGTTACATTTCCAATATTTCTTGTAGTTGTCTTTCATGTGAGAATGCCTACACTTGACTGCGTAGTTAAGACATTGTACAGTAGGTAACAGAATAGATAGACATGTGAGATGTTCAATGTGTGTACTTCAGGGGGTTAAGAGTGCGTGTCTGTTTAGGTGCACATGTGGCACCTGCCTCTCACCCACTGTCTTCTCCCGCCCACCCTGCGATGTCATCCAGGAGCCCGCCCTGCCATTGGCTGAGGGAGTTGTCGTGTGTCTGCCTGTCTACACTTGCTGTGCAGAACTTCCTGCACCTGTACAGCAGGCACAGACAGGCAGACAGACGGCAGCCCACCGGACAGACAGACATGCACGCAGACGAATGGACAGCAGAACAGAATGGATATGGCTTGCGATCCATTAAAGAGCTCCCCCTACTGGGAAGTCACGGGACAATGCGAGTCAAAGGAATGTGCTCGGTCAGGCTATGACGCCTGATCTCCCCCTTGGCTGGTGAACAGTGCTCAGATGCTCATATAAAATGGTGCAAAGGTATATTTTTTGTCAATATGTTTTCTTGTTGTTTATTTTACACTCTGCAGTGTTAAAAGCAGAGGAAAGATACACAATCCCCAGATGACAGACCTCAATTGGCGTGCCATGGAAAAGACGGCCAGAACCCATCACCACCTCTTTGGAAAGACTGCCCCTTGCTCATTAAGAGGGACGCCATCCATGGAAATCCACTTCTATCTCACTCCAGCTAATGACCTGCCATTCTCTCTATCAAGGACAGCTCAGATGTTCATTCCTTTATTGACATCAATTGTAATGCTTTCAAGCTGTAGCTTAGTGCAAGGTGGTCCCTCAATGACACCACACAGAGCATGCAGCCCACTACGCCCCCCCTTCCCTAATAATGCTCAGTTCAAAGACCACTCCCTAGTATTTTTCTTACAACCCTCTTATCTAACCATAGAGTTTGGAGTTAAAATTCCAACTCATTTGCAGTTTACTTGAGTACATGCGCATAGCCATCTTTCCAGGATTAAGAGGAATACCACTCATTCTCACAATCAGAACAAAGCTAAATCTTCTAAAGAGTACTGTATAACGTTTCATGCCATTCTGTAATAAGAAGAGTAATAGTAAGTCTCATATGCAGTAAAAATCCATTATGCACCTTGTACATCATTTTCACTCTCATGAGGTCACCAGCCTGGGTCACACAAGGGCTGGAGAGACTAAACACCTCTGAAGCCTCAGAGAAAGCAAGTGAGGATGGTGAAGAGAGTGAAGGAGAGACAGAACACATGAAGAAAAGAGTGATGACAGGAAGATACAGTTCTAGACAGAGTGAAGAGTAGTAGCAAACAGCGATTCTGACCTCGTCGTCCTTGAACCAGGACAGGCTCTCTGCTGTCAGCACGAACCAGTACTCCTTGGCCCCTCCCTTGATGATACTGATGTTATTGATGGTCAGCCAGCCCTTGCGGATGACCTGCGGGGGTGAGAGGTCAGCAGTTAGACTCGAAGAAGAAAGAGGTGCCCTGCCCCTCTCAGCTCGGCACCACTCCTTCACCCAAACTGGGGTCACAGCCAGGTGAAGAGGTCAGAGCACATGCCACAACAACCTCACATGAGTGGAAAGAGGGGTTAACGAGAGGGGCATACTATTGAGAACACAGTTAGACCTGCTTCTTAGTGAGAGAGCTGATTCGGTGTCAGTGTTACTCTTTGGCAGTGGGGGTCCTGGGCAGTGATGAACAGGGGCTGTGTGAATATTAGATGCTGTTGTTAAAACTCTAAGTGAAAGCACAGAAAACCAAATTCACTCAGAGATGTGTTCGCCTGCACCTCCATCTCCAGCCTCAGCACACATGAATGAAATGGCCCACATGCCGATTCTGTATCAGCATTTGCATGCAATATCTCTACTGACTTCAAAGCCATCAATACTCTTCATTTACCCTAGGCCATAAATACACTAAAAAAATCAAATTGCTTTATATTGGCATTCAGGGCTCTACCTGTGTTCAATAACAATGTAATGAAATATTACAGATAAAAAATATTTTTTTATGTTTGAGACATATTAATGTCAACTACTTTTGACACACAACTTTACAATTTAGCTCTAATAAATATTCTCCATTATTTATAGTAAATCACATTTGAAGAAACACCTTAATAACTCCCTCCAATACAGATTAATTAATCTTACTGCATGCTGACGAATTCTAATGCTGCAGACAAAGGAGACTATTGAGCACTACTGGGGGTGACTGTTGTGACATATGGATCTGCATTTTTATTAATTGAATAAACCTTTGCTGTGAAATGCAAAATTGCTGCAAACATCACACTGAATACTGAAGCATTTGGGGAGCCTAATGTTTAGGTTATGGTATGTTTCAAGATAACCACAAAAGTATTTTAAATATAATACAGGACATAACGTCCTGTGGAGACTGAGGAAAGGTGAATAGTCTTCTGTTGAATTTGGCATCTGTCAGCTGAGATGAAGAGATGGGTTAGATTAAAGATTGTGCACGGTGAAGATCTACAGTATACCCACCAATTTATTTTGGCTCATACAGTGCACTGGTGAAAGGTTTCAGCCGAGAGGTGAATGATCATCTCCTGTCACGAAAACTACTAATGCTGTGCATGACTTATTTTTCCTCAAAATACAAAGGTAAACAACTGCATATTTATAAAATCTATGAAACTAGATCTAAGGCATACTGTATATATAACTGAAATGCAGGAGTCTATACTTGCACATCCTCCTAGAACTGCACGTCCAAGTAGGTATAATGTTACAGTGCACTGATATAGCCACAATGTGTGCATTCAAGTGCAGATTGTGCACTCCACACACAGACAACACCCACTTCCACAAACACACAGACACGTTTGGATAACTTCGTACTGCGAGGAGGCCCGCTGGTGTGAACAGAGTGGGGGAGAAGGAAGCACAAGGAGGTAGTGAAGGGGATTTGAGATAAATTTGTGAGAAGAAATGAGAGGGGGTGGGAGAGGACGGAGAACGGGGCAGTGGAAAAAGTTGCTTAAGAAACCAGGAGAGGAAAGGCACCGTGAGAGCAGGCGAGGGCAGAGAGACGCAGAAAGGCAAGCAAGATAGGAGAAACAGACGGAGGAAGAACAGAGGACGAGTAGCCGACGTGAAGGCTGTGAGAATAAAGGAGAGCAGAAAGGAGTTAAGAGAGGGAGGGCTGAGTACAGGACACAGAGATGGTGTCAGTGCAGAGCTGATCCTCTCTGCGGTGCCAGCTGTCACGCAGAGCTCGCTCACACACCACTGCAGCCTGGCTCTCTCTCGCTCATACTTCAGATACGATCAGTCTCACACTCACATTGTACTGTTAGTGCTGGTCAGACCCTCAGACGCTGATTCAGGATCTCAGTGAAGGCCATGGGAGATGAGGATGAGTCACATTTACAGCAAACACACCCATCCCCAGACCCTGAGCTCTGAACACAGCAGTCTGCCTGAAACCTAGGCTGGAAAATGGGAATTATAGAAATACACATAGGCCCTGTAGGCCCTTTATACATAAGCACACTAGCCCTATGCCCATCTGTAAGCAAACAGGATACTCCTATAGGCACCTCCAATTAAACACTCTGTAACAAAACATGTTTATCTTACTTGTCTTTACAACTTCTCTGTCAGTAACTACTCCTTCCACTTTATCTATCACTCCAAATCCAGCATTACAAAAGCCTAGTACAACACACATACACCAGTCCTCTCGTCCCTTCCCTGTCTGTGCATCCCCCACACAGGGCTGGGCGCCTGCGCTGCAATTAATTCATGAGTAAAGAGACACAGCGGCACTTGTATTCACCTCAAGTCCTTAGCCAAACCGGTGATGTACTGTACAAAGACACGCCACTGCCCTTCTCATTTACACGCCTCACGATGCAAATACAAATGTTAAAAGGAATGATACTGTTGATTTAAACCCCAGTTTGCAGCCCTGTCTGTAACCTAAGCAGAAAGAGCTACGCTTAAGGCCTTTAGCTGTGAATTAGTTATATTTTTGTGCCATCAATGCCTCCCACTTGAGGTGAATACAAAAGGCAGCTACATCAGGAGTGGGTTACATTGGAATTAATAGGAGCTGTACTCTGAGACCAATTGTAAAAACCGGTTATGGTGTTGAAAGTGTGTCTGAGCATCTCATCTCTGTCACAGCTACAGTACAACACAGTGTGTAAATTTCCTAGTCCATTCTGCAGATTTTACACACACCAAAAAATAATTTAGATTGCTCCTTTGTTTTTAGCTCGTCTCACATTCTCAGATTCTGCAGCTCAATTCTAAATATTACATAAATATTATGCAAATAAGCAAATGAATCAGTGTTTCACGTAGAACAAATACTGACAGACATCAGACAAGCTCTTAGATGTCACTGCACTACCCTGCATTTTCTAATGAGAAGGGGAAAGCAGAAGTAACATATACTGTAAGATACACTCTTGTGAATCTCAGAAACCACTTTAGTTCAAATATATATCAAATCAATCAGAGGTTTAACTGAGTCATCAGGTCTAATCCACCACTGTTTCTAGCCCTTCAGCTATCAAGGATTTATAGCTATAGTATAGCTGAATTCTTCGGCACAAGGAATGTTATGTAAGTAGTGGCTATGGACCATTAAGATAGACAATTGATGGCAGTGTGTATCAGCACACAGAGAGGGCAGCTCTTAGTGTGTCAGTGAGGGTCTCTTGGTGTGTCAGAGTGAGTACAGCTCCAGACAGGGTGACAGCAGTAGAAGAAGGTGTTTTAGGCAGGTCTCTGTGTTAGCATCCCAGCCAGCCCCCACAGACAAGTTATATGGAAGGCAGCAGTAAGGCTTACAGAAACTGGGCTCGTACAATTTGACTGGAAGGTGGAGGACCTGCGCCCTGCAACTGCAGCAGAGGGGAAGAGAGTAAAACAGTCATTAAGAACTGGGGTACAGCTGGGAGAAGACAGGAAATCCAGGACACACCTTCATGGTGGCAACACAGCACACAGCCCTGCTCTGAGAGCTTATGGCAGACTGTTTAAATGCTGTATTAGACAGGAACAGCAGCTGATGCAATAAGTACCTCGTTTCTTAAAGGTATTATTATGTTATGATTCTGTCACTTTCAATACTTGCTTAAAGCTGGTGCTGTGGAATGGGTGTTTGCTGGGACCCTAAAGGCCAATCCGACCAGATAGCCCCAAATACAGCATGCAGCACTGATAACAGACCCCTGAAGACTTCATCAAAATGGGTACATTTAACCTTTTTTCAAATAAGAATGAAAGTGAATCATATTGTTAACATAGTTAAGTTAATAACATGTAGCGTACCATCAAGTAACTGTAACAGCTTAGGGGACTATTTGCGCTGCAGACTTCAGGTGCATATGGTAGGTGTAGCATTGGCACGCTGCAACATCTGGGAAGTATTCTAACTGACTTCCAGATAACGCTGAGCTGGAAAGCTCCTGGAACAAGACAGCAGCTGCATGTTCCCCAACCCCTAATCGTAGGCTATAAGGAACCCATACAGACTGCACTGGAGCTCGCAAAACACAAGGGCCATTAATGATGAAATTTCAAGATATGACATTTATGATTTCTAGATGTTTCTTCAAATCCAAAATAATGATAAGGACCACCGTGCACTGATGGAAATGAAATATAACTACATTCATATTATGAGGCTAAATCAAATGAGAGCAACCAAGAACAGTTTTCTGGGGCTCTGGGATCATAAAATTACTGACAAATATATAACAATAATAATTGCTTACACTTATGTAGCGCTTTTCTGGACATTCCACTCAAAGCGCTTTACAGGTAATAGGGACTCCCCTCCACCACCACCAGTGTGCAGCCCCACCTGGATGATGCGACGGCAGTCATAGTGCGCCAGAATGCTCGCCACACACTAGGTATCAGTGGGGAGGAGAGCAGAGTAATGTAGCCAATTCACAGATGGGGATTATTAGGAGGCCATGACTGGTCAGGGCCAATATGAAATTTGGCCAGGATGCCCGGGTTACACCCATACTGTTTTCAAGAAACGCCCTGGGATTTTTAATGACCACAGAGAGTCAGGACTTACTGGTTTTACATCTCATGCGAAGGACAGCACCTTTTTACAGTATAGTGTCCCCGTCATTATACTGGGGCATTAGAACCCACATAGACCACAGGGTGAGCGCCCCCTGCTGGCCCCACTAACACCTCTTCCAGCAGCAACCTTAGGTTTTCCCATGAGGTCTCACACCTGCTTATTAATAGGGTTTGCTAAACAGGCTCCTCTCGTGTGTAACATTGCTTCGGTTTGATGTCAGTTTTAAACGCGTACTGTAGTTTTCCAGCCTCCCCACTGCACCACCCTCGTCCCCATCTCAGTACTCACCTGGCCCCTCCAGCAGGGCAGGCTGTGGGGCTGAGCTGCTCAGAGATTCAGACAAGGGACAAGCAGGGGGGGTGCAGGGCATAAAGAGGGGTGGGAGGAAGGGAGTTAAAGATAAAAACCATAATGGGGCAAGAGAGCAGGGAGTAAAAAAATAAAAGAAGCACTGTTGTTAATGACAACTGAAACAAAAAACAGCAAGGATTCAACCGAAAACACCCAGCACAAAATCATCACATATACAAGCTCATGCATAAAAAATAAATATACAGTATACAATACATAACAGACAGACAGAAAATCTGAGGGACTCCAGGTCAACGTTTCTGCAGAATTAGATATTTTGTCCCTTCTGTACACAGATCATATTCCTCCAGTCACAATCCCCGACACCGTGTTCAAGAGCGGACTCGTGTGCAACTGTCCCGCTGGAATGGGTGAATATGGCTTCTCCGAAATCCCGCATCGATGGGTCACGGGAAAACGTGAGGAGAGGAGAAAAGGCAGAGGCAGAGGAGTGGGGGGGGGACGACGACGAGAGAGGTATCAGAGGAAGGAGAGAGGGTAAAGCGAGAGACGGGAAAGGAGGAGCATCGCAGAACGATGAAAGAGGGATAAGACAGGGTGGGAGGAAAGGAGGATGTGGAGGCGCCCACCTGGTTTCCGGCAGAACTCTTCTTGCTCATCTGGCTACTCCTCTGCTGTGCACTGCAGGAGACAGGCAGACAGAGAGAGAGATTCCAGCAGAAAGGCAGTGAGAAGGGAAAAGACAAAGGTAGAGGAACTTAAGAAAAACCCCAGTTAGTATTTTTACTGACTATAAGAAAACTTCAGACTATTTGCCCCCGAAATGCCTTGTATGCTACAATGATGGGAGCTTTCAGCTTCTAAATATATTGGACTTCCATCTCTCTGCTCCAGTCTGTAACTTAATACCTGTTACTCCCTTTCTCTGTAAATCCCTCTTTCACAGGCTCTCTATTGTTCAATAGCTGGAGGTGCCCTTAGACTCACTTGGCGAACCCAATGAAGTCCTCATGGTTTGTGTTGATGTACGAAAGCTGGACCTCAATTAGCAGCAACACCTGCCAAGAGAGAAAGCAATTCAATAATGGGACAGGCATGAAGAAGGACAAGAAGAGGAAGAATTGGGGAAGGAGACTGAGACAAATTCAGGGAGATGGAAATGCTGACAGCGAGGAGAAAGGGGAATTATCAGTCCCAGCAGCGTTAATTATTGTTGCCTATTTCTGTCAACTCGCTGTCTGCATGTGTGTTTAAGGCTGTGCATCCAAAGTGCAAACCAGACATCTAACGAGAACCAACAGTCCTGGCTGTGTGTGTCTGGGGACTGGGGATGTGCATGTACAGTACAGTAAGTCAGTAGTGTGAACAGGTAATTAGGTGTGTGCAAGCTTTCCAGCGGGGATGTTTCTGGGTGACCTGGTCCTTGGCCCGGCTCTCTCGGTCCCGGATGTGTGTGGTCACGATTCTCTCCGTCTCCTCGCGAAGCCTTGGGAATGTCCCCAACTGCAATGACACACACGGTCACTCAGGCACAATTGCACCTACACAGTTTGACAACCCGCACTGCAGCAAACAATGTGCAGGGAACGTTACTGGTTTCCCTTTATCACTTTCACTTGTGTTCTTGTAGTTGAGGAACACTGCTGTACCTTGATGGTGCACTGCCGCACAGTGTTGATAAGCTCCTGGATCACCATGTCCACACACTTCAGACAGGGCTCCTTTAGCTTCACGATCTGCTTCTTCACTATTGCCTCAAATGCCATGTCAGGTGTGAACAGCCCCGTCCTGCTCAGAGAGAGCGAGAGACAAAGAACAGGGAGAGGGAGAGGGAGTCAGGGGGATGGAGAGGAGACAGCTGGAGAATTCGGAGGAACTAAGAGAGTTATGAAAGGTTTAGGAACAGGCAGAGAGGATAAAAAGAAGGAAAGAGAGGAGAAGAGAGGACAGCCAGAAAAGACACTGTGGCCACTGAGACATGGGAACAGCAATAACCCAGAGGACACTGAGACAAGGAAACAGCGATGACCCAGAGGACACTAGCCTGATGCCATGGATGTTCTTGATGGCATAGCTGATCTCTCTCCTCAGCTCCTTCTCATCAAACTCCATCTGTCAGCAGAGTCACAGGAAGGATACAGAGACACAGAAAGTCACAGATGTTCCTTGTTAAAATCAAAATAAAAATCTGATCTATCAAAAAAGAAAGTCACAGAGAAGTAAGTCAGAGAACATCAGTTCAGGCCTTGAAATTTCTACAGTACATCCTAAGTGACAAGTGAACAAGCTGGGGTACAGAAAAGTTTGCACAGAAATATGAACTGTGTCAGGTAAAATAAAGTATAATTTGCAGTTCTTTTTTACTATGTGTTTGTCCCTTAAAACATAATGAGATGATGAAAGTGATTTACTATTCCTTTTCAAAAGCACAAAGCTGTGAGACTGTGCTGGTTTAATATGCATTTTTTATTGTTGTGCAGAATTCTGTTCTATTGGTGTGTGTGAAATGTCAAATGATAAATCAGTGCAGAACTCAACATGACAGTATATCTTGGTTTTCACACATGGATCATCTTCTCACATTACGTCTAATATTTGTAACTATATCCATTATACTGTAGGGTCAACACCACATATAAATGTTTATATGGTGATAACACTTATCTTAATGTACACAGTACTTCAAGTAAATTAAAGTTTAATATTAAATGTAAAGACTGAATAACTGATTTTAATTAATAATTATTTTATGTAAAATTGGCAGCACCTGAAGCTGACTTTGATTAACAGGCGCAGTGGTCTTAAGAACAATTAAAGCAGATGGGGTGTGAATTGGCTCAGCCTGTGGTATTCACTCTGTATTTGAAATGATCTGTCAACATCTGATCTGCCAGACACGAACACGGTCTCCCACGACAATATCAACATCACCCACACTAGCAGCACTACTGGGGTTTTCAGGAGTGTCCAACTCTACGCCCTGTTCTTGTCTGACCTGCTCTGCCTGGATAACAAAATCACAACTGCAGAAGTCACACAGATCCTAATAAACTTGTCACCTGGGACATTGACCACTTACACTACTGTGGTCTTTGACACTGGATGATGAACAGTGAACCTTTAGCACAAGAGGCAATTCTGTAACAAGCAGAATGCCTTGCATATTTGCATAGGCTTAGTTTACACAAAGAATAAGCCAGTGTGGTTCAGTCATTTCCCATTGATAAAGAAAGTGATACATCATGTCATCTAAGGGTACAGCAGCTTGCCTCTGTAAACATGGCTACAGAGGTCTTGCACTGTGTGGTACCTTTACTATACAGCCTTTTACCCCACCAGAGAGGCTGGTCTATCGCAGTGAGAACAGCTGGGCTGACGAACCTTGACCAGCTCAAAAGGGAAGCGTTCGTGGAAGATTCTGTTGATTTTGGCACCACCAGAAAGTTCCACAGTGTCCACTTGGTCACCCGAGCCTTCAATCCGCTTTTCAAAGTCCACAGAGAACTGCTGCACCATCCTGCGAGACATCATCAGAGATTCCATTAGATCAGTATGTCATAACCTGGGGTCTGTGGACTACTTGGGGTCCTAGTTCAGGTGCCCTACATCCATTTCTACACTCTATTACTATTTATACATAAAGACTTCCAACCGCATACAGTAAATTTTCCAGAACATACTTACAATCTATACTTTTCACTTTACTGCAGCTCAGAACATACATGTATCTATTAGCTCAGTCAGGTATCATAACATAATACCAGCCTTAAAAGCTGACACTAGTTGAAAACAATTGTTATACAAACCTATAAGAGTGACTTAATAAACTTTTGTATACATTGAAGGCATATGCATCTTGTAAGTTACTTTTTTGGGCCAATATTAAGTTTATAATGCAAATATAAAGACACTTTTTTTAAATACATTGTTTCTAAGAAGTGCTAATCTGTTCTTAATATTTCAATTTACATCCACAATGGTACTAAAACTTTTAGAAATTTTATTTGATCAAAAGGTATTTTACATAAATGTTCAATTGCAGCCATCCAACTCAAAGCTGTGCTGGATTTAAAAAAAATGGACATTTACAAAAAATGACCAGACTTGCAGGCAGAATTTCCACTCTGATGACTGAAACAACAGGTGCGTTCACACAGACGCTTCTGCTTCGTCTCGGATTGATCCTGCTCAGAAAGGGCATGTTCCCTTGGTGATCCTGGCAAGTAAACGCCCACTACTGACATGCACTGGAGCACACAAACTATTGAGTTGGCCAAACGAAAAACAAAAACATTGCGCACTGCACATCACAGAACAGCGAGCGGTTTGCACAGTGCTTTAATAAACCAGTGAGTGAAAGGTATAAAAAATACGAATTAAACAAACTTACAAGGAATAGAAAAATAAAGAGCTAAAGAGCTCAATGAAAAGAGTGACGTATCTGGGCATTTCTGATGCTGTTAGATGTTCACTCTGCACAAAACAGTCCACTGCTTTTAGCATTACTAATAGCATTAAAGATGAATAATTTAATTAATATAATTAAAATAATCGCTAACAAAGGATGGGCAGGCTCGATAACTACTTTCTAGTTCCACACGTAAAAACGAAGTATCAGAAGGCTGTTGTGTAAACTGTTGAGGCCATGAGGCCATGGGAGAAATCCACACACCAAGGCGGTCAAGCCTAAGAGCCACTGACATTTCTCCTAAAACACACAGCTAGCGTGGATTGCACACCACAAACAGGACACACGCTGGGAGAGGCCTGTGCAGAAATCACCAACACAGTTTTATCAGACCTCCAAGGCTTATTTCTTTAGAATTATTCCAACTCTCTGAGCCTCTAATATGGGAGGTTCACAGCTCCTGCGCCCTCCAGCCCCTGCCCTGGCCCACAGCTCACTGCAGCAGCGCCTTGGTCTTGCGCGAGGGGTCGTCGGGCCGGAAGTGGCGGTACTCCTCCGCCTCCTTGTCCAGGGACAGCAGCTGGGCCTGCAGCTTGCTGCGGAATGCTGGGAGAGTGTCCCGGATGTGGTTCGTCAGTTGCTGCGGAGAGAGGAAGCCAGGAAGAGCGAGAACAATGTGTGAATACCTGGGGTACGGGAACGAAGAGAGAAGTGGTATAATTCTGCAGGGAAAATCTTTTAATTTTCATTCACAAACAGCGAGGTAACGCATGCATTTGGATTGAGGAAAGTTTGAAGTTAGGGTGACAATAAGTGAGGATCTGTGTCGGGACCGCGGTTCTTAATTCATATCAGGAGACTAAATTTGGAACATCCGTTTAATTTCTGTGTTTTTACTGAAGACTTTATGTGGAAGACTCATGTCTGATGCTGAGCCTTGCTTACTGTCTCTCTAATACACCCGTCCCGTCTTTCTTCATCTCCATCAATCTCCCTCCTGAGTCCTCAGACCCTCTCTCTCTCTCTCTCTCTCTCTCTCTCTCTCTCTCTCTCTCTCTCTCTTCTCTGTGCTCTCTCCACCTTTCCCACCTGACCTGGTTCAGCACTTTCTGCAGGTATGGGGTGCCCATGTTGTCAGCCATGTGTCTATAGGAAGGGTGGGACAGGAAGAACTTCCTCTCTGCTGCCAGCGCTGCCTTGATGTCCTTCTTTCCATCAATGTCCTTCTGACTGCGATTCACCACACCAATATACCCTGGGGAGAAAGGGGAGACTGACAGCATGAGACAAGGCAGAAGGACGCGGCCGAGCGCCTGTGGGGTAAGGCCCCATCAGGGACTAGGCTTCCTGGGCTGGCAGGCACGCGGCGCTGGCAGGGAGGGACGCGCCTCTCCTCCGATCAGCGCCCAACCTCTGCCTATAAGAGATGAGACGCTCGAAGCTGGACTGATCAGAGGAATCTGCCTACACTTTCTTATTGTCTCCCGTTTAAGGTTCGTAGCTACAATCCAAAATGTGAAATACCCCCCAAAAAATATTCAAAATTGGGTGGTTTAACAAAAAAATGGTGATCGTATTATCTTTAATGTGGAAAACGTGGAGAAAAGCAGGATGCTGATTCCTGCGGGGTTTCTTGTGCAGTATTGTACTAAGAGGTCGTGCTGCTCTGGGCCATACCTCTGCGCAGGGGCAGCAGCTTGTTCTCCAGGACGTCCCGAGCATCGGTCCCCTCATCCATCAGGTCCAGCTTGGTGATGACCCCGATTGTGCGCTGACCTGAGGGTCAGGGGCCACGAAGATCACCAACGGGGCCCGCACACCACACCACATGTCCCCAAAAGCCCAGTCCCCTGCACTACACAGGCACTGCCCTCTCCACACCATCGTGTGTCTCTGACATGCATACACCCCCCTCTTTTTTCCTTCTTCCTTCCCTTGTCTCCTCACAGCCGCTCTCCCATCCATCCTCACTATAACATCCCCTCCTCCCAAACCATTCCATGCTCTCTACTTTACACCCATCCTCTGTCAACTCATTCACTTTCCCTCTTAACTGAATGGATCCTCATTCCCTTCCATCCTTCCTCTCTCTCCCCTCACGGGCACCCTTTTTTCTCTTGCACCATCCTTTCCTTCCTGCCTGCGTTCCTTGTCGCCCCTTTTCCTTTTCTCTCGCTCCTCTCACACCCTCACAGCGGTCTCACCCTGGGGGTCCACGTCTTTGGCCAGCTTGAGTGCGTCGGAGTTTGCCAGGTCGGTGTTGGCAGGCGTGACAGCCAAGATGAGGCAATTCTCCCGACAAATAAACTGCATGATCATGTCCCGGATTTGGTACTCAATGTCGGGGGGTTGATCCCCAACTGGAACCTTGGTGATCCCGGGAAGATCAATCAGTGTCAGGTTTAGCACTGCACGCAAACGCACAGAGACAAGGATAGACATGACAAAAGAGACAGAAGCCCAGATACAAATATATAAAGACAAATAGAGAGAGAGGCAGACAGGCAGAAAGATCATGTTATTACACATGCCCATATTCTGCACATGCATTGCTAGAAAGGACAAGGTTCTCTTGTCATTGATTGTGAGGCATTAAATACAAATATGATTTCAATACAAAGTCAGTCAAAGGCAGATTTTGGCTGCTTTCGCTTGCACTTCCCTCGGTGAGTGAGCAGGTAATTTTGATTAATTCTCCTCAGTGATCGAGCACCTTACAGAAAAGCTCTATCTCACTGCAGAATCACAGAAGTATGCCTTTACTTCCATCACTATGTGCAAATTAAAAAAAATATATACATTGTCTCTATTTTAGCAACCTTTATTTTAAACTACAGGTACAGTAACACAGGAATACAGACAAACAATAGTACAGATGCATAGACAATGGTATGGATGATGATGAACAATGAGACAATGATGCATTCGCTTAGAGACAGTGACATAGACAGTAGTACAGGTGCTGAGGGAAGGACACTGACACACAATGGTACAGATACTTAGGAACAGTGTCGCAGACAATGATACAGACACTTAAGGACAGTGACACAGACAATGGTGTACTCACTTAGGGACAGTGACACAGACTGAGGTAGAGGCGTTTAGGAACAGTGAGAAAGACTATGGTACAGTTGCTTAGGGACAGTGAGACAGACTGAGGAAGAGACGCTTAGGGACAGTGACACAGACTGAGGCAGAGATGCTTATGGACGGTGCAGATGAACAGACACAGAGACACAGGAAATGTCACGGACACACAGGCATACAGTAGCAATGCAGGGACCCAAGCAGTGGTACAGACACACAGGCTGTCACAGGTAATGCAGACAGCTCATACCATATGGGGAGTATACCCGCAAGTTGATGGGCACAGGCGAGATACCCTTGTTGGCCCCAGTCAGCCGGTCTGTTTCAGCCTCAATCTCCTGGCGAACCTCATCAAAATCTGTGAACTTCTTCCCCTTACATTGCAGGAACTCTGCATACTCTGCACAAACAGACAAGAGGCAAAACATGCAGAGAAGAGACAGAGGAGAGAGCAAAGAGAAAAAAATGAGCCAGAGATAATAAGATTTAATATCCTTAAACTGTTACAAACTGCCTGCATGTTTTATTTTGTACAGTAACTTATCCTCTCGTCTGTCATTTTACCTCCTTGTCCTGCCTGCTCTGAGCATCAAGGACTTAAAGACACTGACAAAGCCTGGCTTCATTCATTCCCAAACGATGCTGCCATCCTTCCTCTCCCAATCTGTCATGTCTATCTAGTAGAGCACTATGCTCTTCATTCTCTCAGTTCCTTGGGCATAAGAAATAACCTATACTTCCTTCCTGCCTATCTGGCTAGTCCTCAGCTCTAACCACTAACCCACACTATCTCTTTCCCTCTATGTACATCTGTCTTAATGTTCTCCAGGTACCCAAACAGAGACTAAAGATACCAGCTCCTCACAATGCCCCCAGATTTTCTGGAAAAGATGCCTTCTTTGCACAGTTGATGCAAGACTAATGGAAAGGAAAGCAGTGCCCTCTGGTGGCGGCTAGTGTTACTCAGATGATCACAGACACAAGGCCTCACGTTTGCCAGCATCTTAGTATTGCAGACGGAGCTGCATTGATGTATTCGTCTTGGCAATAGCTATTCACATGAGAATGAATCTGCAGTGATCCACATGCCACATCAACATTCCATATTCCTTTAATATTGTTACTTAAAAGCTGTTAATTACCATGTCCGATTGGCAGTATATTTTGCTTTTGTTTGTGCTATTTTGAACCAGCCCAGTTGTGTGCTGGCTGCACAGGTGTGCTCTGAGAGCATGTCATACCTGTGTTAGCGCTGATGAGCTGCAGGACCAGGGGCCTCCTGGTGACTATCCCAGAGCCTCGCGGCAGGAAATCTCTGAAAGGACACAAGGACAGGGAGCGTCTTAGTCATCACGATAAGGCGCAAAGGGAGCTTCCAGGCCCAGGCTGAGACACAAGGTCAGGGGTCACAAGAGAATTCACCTACAGTCAACTCAGTTCTGTCAACCACAGGAACTCCAATATACTCAAATGCTTGGACAGAAAAGCTATTTGTTAATCCAGCACGATGTGTGCATCAGCTCCCTTTACATGCCTGCCCTGCTGAGTATGAAGTCCCTCTTGCCTCTCTGTATCCTCAGTGCCACACTGCTGCAGCTCCTGTGCTGAACGATTTCCCAAGAGGTGTTGGAGCTGCACCCGCAATGACCTTGTCATGCTCTCCCCTACAACAGAGCACAGCGCCACACACTGCATCACACTGGTGCAGCTCAGCAGGGCATGAGCTACCCAGCTGAGATCCCTCTGCAATCACTCTTCCTACCCCAGGGATACAGGCACCCCACCGGTCTCTCTGCAGCACAGAACTGCTCCACCAACAGCACCTTCGGAATCATTTGGTCGTCAATCGTAGTGAACTGGGCTGGCAAATGAAACTTAATGTTGATAAACACAAAATGATCCAAGCAGGAAATAGGAACATAAAGTCTTTTATACAAGCCACATACACAGTTCTTCTGAGCTGAGCTTGAAAGAGATCTGCATGTGCATGTGAGGAAGCAATAATAAAGCAAAGACGATGCTGGGGTATAAAGTAAAATGTGTGGAATTTAATAAAGGAATGGTTTTGCTTATTTTTACAATGCTCCAGACAGCCTCTTTTTTAAAACAGAATAAATAACAATGCTGTATGAAAATAAAATCTGTAACAGCTTGACAGAGAGTTCAAGGAACAGCAACAAGAGCGACTCCTGGTGTAAAGTGACTGTCATATATGGATATTTAGTTCTTTTACTCTATATTCAGTCTAACAAAGGAGATTTGGAAGAGGTTTAATGCACGTCCATAAAATCCTAGGCGATATACACACACAGTGGACCACTCCGAATTCAGTAGCAAATAAAAACATAGGGTCAAAGCTGGAAACTACGCTTTGGATAAGGAAATTCATTTTGGATACAGAATAGGAAACACTTCTTTACAAAGAGAATTGTGGGTGTTAGGAGTAGGATTCCATGAAAGGCGAAGCCTGGAATTTGGGCCTCTTCATGAAGCTGTTAAATGAAATTCTAGATTTACTAAACTACACCGAATATTAAAACAAAACATAGTCTCATGTTTGTGTGTCGGCTTGGAGAAAAACAATGTATATTGATACTGGATATTGGCTGCATTTTATCCATCATTTTGATGAGTGGATCATTCATGATTGACCATTACAAGCTCAGCTTTGCTACAGAAGTACAAAAACTCATTAATGAGAGAGCTGATTGGGCACAGGTGATGAGGTGAATTAACCTGCTGAGTACCAAGCCTGATAAATATCAAGAAAGAAGAACACAGAAAAGATCACTAACCCCCCTTTATTAAGGCAACAGTGCTTTAGTTCCATTGGTATGTTGGAGGTTGGACTACGTCATTTGTGTTCAAAGCCAACGGTTACTAACCTAGCAAGAAATTAAAGCCAAACACAATCTCCATCACTAATTCAACAGAATCTGGGAGACCACAAGTCACAAGCCAAGACTGCCTTGTCATCGTTCAAGCTCATTTTCACATTTGCACTGCATCAGAAATGCCAGGTCACAACACGGGATTGCAACCTGCATGGTGAAAAATGAATCGTCCCCACCTGGCCACTGCTGCCTGTGTAACTATGGCTGTCCTGCCAGATGAGAAGGATTGGTAATGCCATAGAGGGCCTACTTGCCAGACGTGCTTTCCACTGAACAGCTGTTGGATGAGCTGAGACAACATGTGACATCTGAGGTTCTGAGACCAGTCAATAAGCACAGGCTTGTCCAGAATCTCTTAGAGGAAGGGGACAGCATCCCTCAGAACATGTTATTGCAAAGCACGCTTCCCAGATGTAGTTGATTTTCCTCCAGCAATGGCCACACATGCTGCTAGTCTGTGACCTTGTGTTGATCATTCCTGTTGAGGACAAATCTAAATCAAGGGTTTTCCATGTCTGTTAATTACAATGTCTGTACATTGAACACTTTGTGCTGGTGCTGCAGTTGTAAGTGTTGTGATTTTTTGATGCTCAAAATACTAGACTACCAAACAGGCAAGATGGACCATGTGGCCTCCTCGTTTCCAAACTTGTACACCTATATAATTCTATACCTTGCTATATAGTTCCTATAGTTTTGACAGCACAGCACGTCATTCTCATCTCTCAATAACAACACAAGAACTCCACCCTCACCATAATACTGAGAGAGATGCCTCAGCCTCTCCCTTAATTCTAACATAATGCCACAGCAAGCTGAGCTTTCAGTCCAGACAGAGGTCCTGCTCCCCAGTTCTGCTAGTCATGTGTATTGAGGAGATTAAGCCTAAGTGAACACAAGCAGAAAGTGCTGGCACTTTCCTCCATGTCCTGTCTCGCCAGCAGTTCACACGCTGTCTCAGCCTTGATCCCCACCCAGTCCTGTGCCCCAGTCCCATTATGAAAGAGCTAACTCTCAAATGAAAAGCCCCATTATGCAATGGCCAGCCTGCTAGGACACTGGGAGCCGGCCTATTCATACAACACATAACATGACACTGAGGTTACTCGGTTTTCCCCAGTGAAAAACCAAGACAAAGACGATGTTGTAAAGACATTTTGTACAAAGCTTTACGGCCTGTACAGGTTGATCTTGTGTTTTTTCAAGGCTGTGCAGCGAGCGAACCTGAAGTAGCAGAAATTAAGCCGTCTCTCGGCATGGAACACCTGGGACATGCCAGCATGTGCACTGATTTTAATCTCAGGCTGGCTGCCCCGGACCACACAGCCATCAGCACTATCACCCCACAGGGCTTCACACTCAAACCCAGCTTTTGAAAAAAGCGTCCAATGTCAACTCTCACACTCAGCTCAGCGCTGGAACTTCTGATGCTCAGTATACCAGACTATCAAATGCACAAATGCAGGCAGACTCATAAACTCACAACATTAATTAATCAGTCATCCAGGTCAACTTCCATGCCACACAGAGACTGCCAAGCTGAGGAATGGAAATGCACACTCAAGACACCCACACACGGAGAGCCCCTGCCTAGCAAGACCCCTGCAATGCAGCTCTGTGACTCAGGCTGCTGTGAGCCTCTCTGGAACAGCATCAGCAGGACATTCGGCGACTCGCGCTATACTAAACGTGTGTGTACTTCAGTGCATCAGCGTTTCCACATGTGCGTGCATGTTTGCCCCCAGTCTTTAAATGTCCATTCTACCTTCTATGCCTAGTAAAGTGAAACATATTCCAGGCTGACTGCAGTGCCTTATGTATGCATCTGTGTTTCCATCATTTTAAACAGCATCAACAGCATTAACAGATTTCTTGGAAAACCTCAGAAACCTGTCAATATGATAAAAAATGAAACCTTATGTTTTAGTAAAATAATAAATATTAAGACTTTACAAATCATATACGTACTGTATATCTCTCAAAATCCAAGTTATTAGTGTCATTCAAAACTACCGCATTCAAATTTAATGCTTTGCATAAGCCACCCATGAAAAGATATGGATTTTAAGACAATGGCATAGTCAGTAAGTTGGACAGTAAGTGAGAATCTTTCAGCTCCAACCATTTGAAGCCGATTGGGAATCTAATGCTTACTATAAAATAAAGCAGTCTTTGCCTCATTTATAAAATGAGATGAGAAAATCTAATTAAGAATCTCAGTAAGGCTGCGAGAACGAAAAGATGGCCAAGGGATGAGACCCAGTTTTCTGAAGGGGAGAGAGAGTGACAGAGGCACAGAGAAGCAGCAGATGTGGTTTGTCATTGCTCTTCAAGGAGGCTGACCCAAATCACATACAGTACCAGCTCCCCCACACCCACAGATACACACACACTCCGACCAGTCGCAATCCAGGACGTCAGATACAGACCTACACTGCACTTCTTTCATATCAGGTGCACCCGGTGGCATTTGGTAGGGCAGGGTGCACAACAGTTCAGAGAGATTTCTGAATGCTCTCCCTGTGATCGTTGGACTTTGTCAGATATCACTTGACGAAAACCTGCATTAACTGCCTTTCCCTTAATTTTCAGTTTACACATTCTTTTTCATTTCTAGTTATTGACAATAGGACTCAATCCATTTGAAACATGGAAACGTGCATTTGAGAGGCGCGATTTGCTGATCTGGGGTGAAGCTTATTTGCTGCATACAGAAGCCAATTAGGATTTGCTCCTCTTCATTTCCTTATCATCAGATCAATGGCATTCAACATTCCACTTGAGTGGGATTTGCATCAGTTAGATATCACGACAATAATTTAAAATGTTACTATGTATAGCTTATTCCCTGATTGCAATTCCCTCTGCAAAATCATAAACATGTAAACAACAGCAAGGAAATTAGCCTATGAGAGCTCCCATTTCAGATTCTCACTGATGCTGAAAACACTGTATTGTAGATTGAAAATGAAGATAAAGGCAGGGAACCTCGTCTTGCAAGTTACAAGTCTTCAACAGGTTTCTCCATCATTCCCATAATAACTGACATCTGGGGGATCTGACACCTTGTCAGATGGGAGAAGCCAAAGACAAATTTCCACACTAGTGGACAATAAAGTATCTATATATCCCCACGTCCCCTGAGGCAGCTCTCTGCCTCTCACTATCTACCACTAGCTATGTCTCCTCACAGTGTCTTTCAGAACACAGGGCTGCTACAAAGACGGGAACTCATGTCAGAAACTTACAAAAGAAAGCTATCACAACATTCAAGTTTTTTTTTTTTGATGATTCTGGATTGTAGTTTTGCAAACATAAAGGCATAAAGGAGTATTTTGAAGAAAGCCACTGACAAAATGCAGCACAGTGTAACCCTCTGCAGACTGGGGATCTACAGTACTCTGATGCAGACAATTCATCC